GTTTTTGTTGTTTTTTATTACTTGCCCTAAAGAAAAGTCATCATTATATTTATTTTTAATATACAGTTTTATATCTAATCTACAATCATGTCGGATGACTCCAATAATAATCCGTAAATTATTTTTTAAAATTTTAATGCAATTATTGATTATTATTTGCAAAATTTTCAATTTTAATTATTTTATATTTTTTCATTTACTTAGAAAACATATGCCAATTGAAGAATCAATACTATCGGCACAAAAGATCTATCTAGATACAATTCAAACAAATGACATTTGCAAAGGATTGGCCGAATTAGAGCCTCATGTGAGCAAGAGCATTTATCATAGTTTTCTCAAATGTGTTGGCCTTATTATCATTGCGTTTTCATCAATGAGCAAGGTACTGTCTTTAATATAATTGTAAAACAAGTTATAAAACTACTAAATGTGATAATTTGCAGGAGGATATTGATAAAGCGCATGAAAGTTTAACAGTGTTGGCCAAACAGACCAATAAGATCCGCAAACATGGCATTTTGATTAGTGCACTGAAAATTGTCAAAACACCCAACTATAACAAATACACCGACTGTACGTATTAATTAATTAATTGTTTTTATGTTGGTTAGTTTAATAAAATTATACACAATTATTGTAGTGGAGTTGCATGCTGAATTGTTGCATACATTCTACCTGTCCATGAGTGCACTCATATGCGGTATGGAAACGCATAACATCTACGGACTCATTAAAGTTGCCTATCGTTTGCAAAAGTTTATCAAAAACTTTAAGTAAGTTTTTATTTTTGTGAATAATTAATTTAATTAACACATGTTTTCATAAGCAATATGAGCTACAAACTAAACAGTTTACTTAATAAAGTGACACAAATACCTATCATTTGGCATTTCTATAATTCATAAAAATATAAAATACTTTACATATAAAACACACTACAGTTAGCAATCTAGTCACGATTGTCAAGTGACATATAAACACTATGATAACATTTTAACATGATGATAATTTGTGATGACAACAACACTATAGGGGCTGTCGTGTGATACTGAAGAAGAGGAAACAATGGGAGAACGAGACGTCGAGACAGAACTTCGAGGCCGGCGTGCGGTTCGCCAATGGGCTCAAGAATCTGGCCATCAGTCAAATACCACCAAAGATCCTGAGAATAATCAACATTTTGGGCTATAAGGGACAGGAGAGTGTGGGTCTGGAGGAGTTGAACAAGGCCGCTTTCGAGTTGCCCGGTATGAACGCCCGGTTCGCCCGTACGTTCTTCATTGTGTACTGGCTTTACGGCAAATCTCACGGCGGGTTAGGACTCAACAAAGACATGAAACACTGCGAAGAGGTTATTCGCAAAGAGCTCGGCGAACACCCAAAGGTATGGCCAATACAATTGCTCATTACTTGTTATTGCAAACAAAAAATAATCATGCTAATAGACAATGTGGTTGTTGTAATAAAAATCTAGGCCATAATAATTGAACTAAATGAAATAACAAATTGTGTATGTGTATATTCACATAGAGCATCGTGTACCTGGGTGCCCTGGCCAAACTGGAACAAGTGAAGGGCAATTTGGACACATCCATAGCCATGAATGAGGAGCTGCTGAAGAATGAATATACGGCTTTCCATAAGGCGGTCCACTTTGAGCTAATGTTTTCTCACGCGCTTAAGTCTGATTGGGACGCGTGTATCAAATACGCGGAACTCGTGCGCAAAGGCACTGAACACTCGCCCACTTATACCACTT